ACCTGGGGCCCAGCTTGCCCCTCTTCCGAAACGTGATGAAACCATTCCAAGGTGAGACCTTCAGAAGGACCATATCGCCTACCCGGAACTCTAAGTCTGAACGCCTCCTGTCGGCATGGCTTTTCTGCCGACTCTGCGCAGTCTGCAGTCTACTACAAACCTGCTGAATCAACTCGTTCGTCTTGAGCGCCACCTCCGTGCTCCCAATGGCTCGCTGACCGACCTCACCCCAACAAATCGGGGTCCTGCACTTCCTCCCATAAAGCATCTCAAAGGGAGGTCAATCAATGCTCGCATGATAACTGTTGTTATACGAAAATTCTGCTAACGGAAGATACGTATCCCAACTGCCACCGAAGTCTAGGACACATGCCCGGAGCATGTCCTCAAGAGTCTGAATCGTCCTCTCGCTCTGCCCGTCCGTCTGAGGATGGAAAGCGGTGCTGAAATGGAGACGAGTACCCATCTCGTCGTGAAACCGCTTCCAGAATCTGGATGTAAAACGAACGTCTCGGTCTGACACCACCGATACCGGCACTCCATGACGTGCCACTACCTCCCGCACATAGATATCAGCTAACTTTTCTGTCGATATGCTCTCCTGGATCGGTATGAAATAAGCACTCTTCGTCAACCGATCCACTATTACCCAAATCGAATCCACCCCATGTGCGGTCCTGGGAAGCTTGGTGATAAAATCCATGGTGATGTCCTCCCATTTCCACACGGGAATGTCTAACGGCTGCATCTTGCCGTGAGGCCTCTGGTGTTCTGCCTTGACCTTCCTGCAGGTCATGCACCTCTCTACATACCAGGGGACATCCCGCTTCATGCAGGGCCAACAGTAATTGGGTCGAAGATCTCTATACATCTTCTTCGCCCCTGGGTGGATAGAAAATCGAGACTTATGAGCCTCGTCCATCAACACCTGCCGTACTCCGCCCCCGTACGGTACCCACACTCTCCCATGAAGGGTCAACAACACCCGACTATCATAATCAAACGAAGCTACTCGGCCCACTATCCTCTCACACTTCTGCCTCTCTTCCTTGAGGCCCTCAACTTGAGCCTCCCTGATCCGTTCCAACAACGGAATAATCACTGTCATCCTCAGACATAAGTCTCTGATAGGGGCTGCTGTCACCTTGCGGCTTAGGGCGTCGACCACTACGTTGGCCTTCCTTGGATGGTAAAGGATTTCACAGTCATAATCCTTCAGCACATCCAACCACCTCTTCTGTCTCATGTTTAGACTCGGCTGATCCATAAGGTGCCTCAAACTCTTGTGATCCGTGTAGATGGTACAACCCCCATAAAGGTAATGTCTCCAAATCTTGAGGGCAAACACCACCGCCCCCAGCTCTAAATCGTGGGCAGGATAGTTAGCCTTGTGAGGCTTCAACTGTCTCGAGGGGTAAGCTATCACATGCCCTCGCTGCATCAATACTGCTCCCATACCTGTGATTGAGGCATCACAGTAGACTACAAAATCCTCTATTCCCTCTGGCAGGGTAAGGATCGGAGCCTCGCACAATCTCTGCCTGAGGGTCTCAAACGCCACCTGTTGCTCAGGACTCCAACAAAACACCACCGACTTCTTGGTCAGTCGGGTGAGTGGTACTGCTATCTTGGAGAAATCCTGAATGAATCTTCTGTAATACCCTACCAAACCTAGGAAGCTTCGAATCTCGGATGGAGACTTCGGGACCTCCCACTGCATTACGGCCTCTATCTTGACCGGATCTACCAAAATACCCTTCTGGTTGACGAGGTGACCAAGGAACTGCACCTCACGCAACCAGAACTCACACTTGGAGAACTTTACGAAAGCTCTCTCCCTTCTCAAAAATTCTAGCACCTCCCTCAGGTGCTCTTCATGCTGCTCCTGAGTCTTGGAATACACCAATGTATCATCTATGAATACTATCACAAACCGATCCAGCATCGGTCTGCATACGCGATTCATGATATCCATGAACACGGCTGGAGCATTAGTGAGCCCAAAAGGCATCACCACGAACTCGAAATGACCATAGCGGGTCCTGAAAGCAGTCTTTTGCACATCTTCGCCTCTGACTCGCATCTGGTGATATCCGGAGCGTAAATCGATCTTGGAGAACCAAGATGCCCCCTGAACCTGATCAAACAAATCATCTATCCTCGGGAGGGGGTAACGGTTCTTCACCGTTACCTTATTCAACTCCCGATAGTCTATACACATACGGTGCGACCCATCCCTCTTCTTCACAAACAGGATCGGCGCTCCCCAAAGTGAACTACTCGGTCGAATAAAACCCTTGTCTAGTAGCTCCTGCAGCTGCGTTGACAACTCCTGCATCTTAGGGGGAGCTAGCCGGTACGGTGCCTTAGCTATCGGAGATGCACCAAGAATTAGGTCGATCCTAAACTCGACCTGCCTCTCAGGAGGTATTCCCGGTAAATCCTCTGGAAATACATCCGGGAAGTCTCGCACCACCGGAACATCGTCAACTGTCGTCTTTCCCTTCTCCCGGGCATCCAAGACATAAGCTACATAATCGGTGCAACCCTGCTGAAAATAGCACCTCGCTCTCGCGGCTGAACAAAGAGCTGGTCCGTGCTGTGGCCTCTCGCCCTGAATCACTAACTCTCCCCCACTGGGAGTGCGAACCCTCACTAGCTGCAACTCGCAATCAATCACCGCCCTATTGGGACTCAACCAATCCATGCCCACTATAACCTTATTCCCTCGCAGAGGAATAGGGACCAAGTCCACCGGAAACTACTCGTCGAACAACTGAAGAGAACATCCTCTATGCACTCTGGCGACCCTCACGGTCCTGTCATCTGCTATCTCGATCTCTAGTGGAAAATCCAGCTCCTTTGGAGCTCTACTAAATCTCTTGCTAAGCGCTAGCAATACAAACGATCGGGTAGCCCCCGAATCAAATAACACTGTAGCAAGAATGTCGTTCACAGAGAACGACCCTATACAAAACATATAACCATAAGCAATAATCAATAATAATATAGAGATGAAGGGAAAATACATACCCGTCACCACATCAGGAGTCGCTCGTGCCTCCTCTGCTGTCATCTGAAAAGCTCTACTCTTTGCCACTAGCGCCTCGGCTCGGCCCTGCCGGCCATCTATAATCCTCAAAGTAGCAGGGGCAGGTGCAACGACCTTCCCTGCTGCAACTAAACTCGGGCACTGGGACTTTTTAGGTCCCCTATGATTGCACTGAAAGCAAATCAGATCTGATGCTGCAATGGCGGTAACAGGGGTCGTACAATCCCTACTCAAATGCCCAGTCCGACCGCACTTGTAGCAGCCAGAACTCCCTGCCTTGCACACCCCATCGTGCAATCTCTCACACTTGCCACATCAATCGTGGCTCTGCTGACTCCTGGATCTGTGATCTGAAACCTTGGGCTTTTTGCCCAAACTACCTATACCCTAAACCACCTCCGATTTCCTCTTCTTCTCCATCTCAAGGTCAATCTCCCTCTCCCGAGCCCTAGCAATCATGTCATCCAGATTTTTACAGCTGGACCGGCTCACAAACTGGCGGATATCGCTCCGCAACATCTCATGATAACGGGCCTTTTTCATTTCCTCATCGGCTGCATACTGGGGAACGAGAAGAGCCCTCTCCTTGAATTTGGCGGTGATCTCCGCCACGGTCTCTGTAGTCTGGGTGAGGTCCTGAAACTCTCTGGCTAACTACTGCACCTCAATAACCGGTGCAAACTCCACCCTGAATCTGGTAGAGAAATCAGCCCAGGTCATGGCATCTAGCGTTGCATCATCTCCAATGGTTCTTTAAATTCGTTTCTCATTCACAGTCCAGTTCAAGAAAAATGATACACTGTGAATATTAAATTGTACAAATATTAAACTTTTATCGGCCATAAAAATAGTGTACTGTTTTTTATGAATAAATTTATTAGATATAGCTGAACAGAATATCCAAATCATCTTGAATACTTGAATACACTTTGAGTCCTGAATTGTCTAAAACTTAAAATTTTTATCGGTCATAAAAGATATATATTGTAATGTTTTTTATGAATAAATTTATTAGAAACTAAAAAAAATGTCCAAAACTACGTATATTGATTTTAGTATCTGAGTTTAAATGTTATCTTCCGTCATGGTGATAACAAATTCATGATATCGTCAGTATAATCGGAACCTTTTGTATCCGGTAAGGTGTTTTTTTTTTAAATAAAAGAATAAAATAAAATAAATTAAAAGTTTTGGTGGTTAAATAAAAAAATAAAAATATTTGGATGGTTAACGCAATACTCAATGGTTTTCATAGACTTCAAAGTTTTATGGTTAGTCAAAGTTATCAAAGTTTAAAATATTATATCGTAACCGAAAAAATATCAAATTATTTTGTTTTTATGGAATCATTGCTAATAAATAAAAATAATTTTGTCACTTGTAATTTTCTAATATGTTATGTCATATGGTTTTTTCTTATTATTTTTATTTTATTTTTTCATATGTTATTTTACGATTTTATTATTTTATTAAATTTCAAATAGTATTTAAATAAAATAATAAATACATATTAATTTCATTATTTAAAATTTCATTAGTTTTCTTTTGTTATTTAACAAAATTATTTAATTAAATTTAAAAAAGAAAAAAACACTTTAATTTTAATAATTCAATATTTTTTCATTTTTCTTATAAATTCAAACTTTTAAAATGGTTAACATTTTATATTTTATTTTTCTTTTAAATAAACTCATATAATATATGGGTTACATAGTTTACACTTTACCGAATATATTAAAATGATTAGTTCCATTTGAGATGTTATTTACAATTTATTCTTGAACCAGACCGTTCCAAATATATTTTAGGCACGATAAAAATATAAAAAATGGATATTTAAAATACATAAATGTCATCAAGTTTTTCATAATAACACAATAATTAAAAGAAAATTACTTGTACAATCTTCTAAATATAACAGTTTCTAAAAAAAAAAAAAACAAAAAAAACCGTTTTAAAAAATAGGTTCCGAACAATCGTCCCTATCGTCCATCCTTTGAAACGAGCATGTCTTGAACCCTAATCACTCGTTTAGTACGATTATTGTTCCAACCATAAATCTTGATTTCGAGTACAAGTAACAACTTTCAATTAAAAACGAGAATAAGAATATGAAATGGACCAACATATTCATCATATTGAGCTTCATTTATTATTATAAACAGGAGAGCTAGCACAATAAGGACAATCCTCACATGACATCACATATAAAGTGACTTCTTCCCACTAAGATTCAATATCCCCACCCAACCCCACCTGAATTTACTGAAATACCCTTATGTCATCTCGGTCAATCTGTTCATTTCCCGTTTCAGGATGGTAAGATCAATAATACTAATACATACATAAATACATGCATAGATTAGGCGGGGCATGAAAAAGTAGACGTTAATGAGTCACCATGTTATGTCATATTTGAATTACTCATCATCATCCTTGTCTGAGTTGTTTGATGTGTTATCAGATATCATTTTTTGAATCAACTCGCTCGTCTCTGATTCCGACATCTGTCGACTTGCTCCTGTTGATGATTGAGACTGCGAGTACGACTCAAAGAACTCCTTGTTTTCTTTCTCTAACTCCTTCCACACTGCATGTTATGTGTAGGGTTTTGTCTCACTTTTAATAATGCGATCATATTTAACAATCATGGATCATGGATCATGGTTATGTGAATTATTAGATATATATGCGGATCATGTCCTTGATTTTCTTTCCAAAAGAGTCCTTTAACATATAGGTGAGACTCCAACATAATATGTATTGTGTCTAGCTAGTTGATGTGGGACCTGAACATCATGGATGTTCAATGATGGCTTTGATACCATGTTAGATATATTAAATTGTTGATTTTCTTTTCAAAAGAGACCTTAAGGAAGAGAGGAGAGACGACAACATATATACAAAAGCAGGAGGAGGGACTGTGTCTAACCGATGTGGGACTGTAGGTTTTGATTAGATGATGACATGTGTGTGCTAGATGCTCACTTTGATACCATGTTGGATATATAGATTTCTTGATTTTCTTCGAAAGATAGCTTTTAAGATGAGAATGGAGACTCGAACATATATCTAGCTCTAGTTGATCATGTATGTATGGCCATGCATGCATGGTCATATATGAATGATCTGTATATATAGTTTGAGGTAGGGGAAAGGAAAGGAAACTAACCTGTTGAGGTGATGATCGGCTTGATGTTTGCATGTTTAGATAGGGCTTCCATGCACTCTTCTTTGCTCATGCGGAAGATTAAACACTTTTCTATCAGATGTTGCACCTAAAACAAATCACACCATGCATATATATAGTTAAACTTTTAACTATGATCATCTATAAAGCTTTCGATATGAATTATGAACCATATGTTTGTGTTGTTATTGTTGTTGTTACCATGTGTATGTATGAAGCTGAAGAGTCATCCATCTTAATTATATCACTCTCACTGGTTTTGTGATACAAATATGGACATGTATATACGTGAAGGATTTGAGTTGTATAAAAAGTGATGAGAGCTAGCGATCATGAAGCAAGGAAAATGCGTTTGAAAGTTATATAGAGATGAAAATGATGAAGGAGATGGTGGGGTGGGCCATGGAGTTCATGTGGGAGATAGATGATAACTGGTGGAGAAGGGTTTAGAGGAGATTTGGAGTTCAACATTTCTGTCTTGTAGGAATCCAATGTGGCAGCCCCCCTTCACGTGACCAGTGGGTCCCACCTACCCAACACATTCTCTAAAGTTTCTAAACTATTCACCAATGCTACTTGGAAAAAAAAAAAAAAAAGCATCATTACCATAAAAAGACAATGAATTTATCGTCCTCAAAACCTTTTAGCAAATCAGAATGTGACATATGGCAATTCATGATCAAGATTCTAGTGAATATACATAGGGATGCTGCACCAAGCTTTACTGCTGATGTGGTGACATACAGGATCGTCCATTTGTCCATGTGGTGATTTGGTGCTTCATGATTGGTTGATGGAAACAAGACAAGTAAAAGACATTGATGATCTGGACTTCTTTTGGTTCTTTAAGATCATAAATTCATTGGTTCATTTTTATCTATCTAGCCTTACAATTTTTTTATATTAATTTTACATAGATATTATGGTATCGAACATCATTTGTACACATCTGGTGTGTCTTGAAGTTTCTGTTTTTCTTTATGGACTCCAGTCAAGTGGTTGGTTTGTCTTATTACAACTTACAAGTAGCACAAACTGTCCAAGAAGGATGAATATATGCAAACATATCTTCTTATTCAACACTTTATATAGAACACCAACTCAGCCCCCGCTAAAAAGAAAGAACTCTTGATGGGAGGGTTTGAGTATATATAAAGCAAATATCTAATCAAATAGTGGAAGCTTGTATGACAAAAAACATGCCAACAATAGATTGACATCTTTCTCCAAAAAGTTATTCTTCGTGCAATCTTTTGTCTACAATACTCTGTGTGGAAACATCATTTGAAATGTAAATCAGACCTTCAGTGTAATCCTTGAAGATTTCAAAGTTATTCTTCGAGCAACCTATTGTTTACAATACCCTGTGTGGAAACATCATTTGAAATGTAAATCAGACCCACAGTGTAATCCTTGAAGATTTCAAAGTTATTCTTCGAGCAACTTTTGTAACACCCCAAAGTTTGGAAAGTCAAGAAAAGAAAGAAGACCTCAATTTTTAAGAGAGACTCGGCGAGTCCATGGAGGGACTCGGCGAGTCCGAGCGGGATCCGGGTCGAGGTGTAAGCGACCGACTCGGCGAGTCGGCCAAGGAGACTCGACGAGTTGGGTCTGAACGAGGAAAACCCTAAATTCGGGACTTGGAGCCTATATAAGCGTCTCATTCTCCTTCCTAGGGTTCTTTTACTGCCTCTCTACCCCAGAACACCAAACCCTAGCCGCCATATCCGTTTTTGAGCTAGATCTTGCCTTGAAGAGTGCACTAAAGCTTGGAGGAGGAAGAAAGACCTTGGAGGTGCAAGAAGGGACTGTAGATCTGGGATTGTGGAGTCATTTCAGAACAATTGGAGGTAATAAGTTGTTGCTTGGACTCCCTTTTGCATCTAGATCTATTTTTATATGTGAGTTTTGGTTATTTTTGGTATGATATGTAACCAATTCAAGTTGGAGGTTCAGATCTGAGGTTGCTACCTCAGATCCATGTTGGTTTTGGTCTTGAATCCCCTAAAGTATCAGCCCTTGGTATGTTGAAGAAGCATGTTTGCCATAAACCCTAATTTAGTGTGTTTTTGAGCCTAGATCTCTCAATCTACACGTAAAGTTTGCCACTTTACGTGGGGAATAGGCCCTAGAAGTATGGATCTATGAGTTGGAAGTTCTGTTTGGCTCGAAAAGCCACTGCATGGATTGAGGACTGGATAGACTCGGCGAGTCCTTCGAGTGGACTCGGCGAGTAGCTTGAAGATGAGGAGGAACTCGACGAGTAGGATGAACAACTCGACGAGTTGGTTGAAGATTGTCTAGGACTCGGCGAGTCTGTTCTTGGACTCGGCGAGTCAGATCGCGAAACCCTAAACCCTTCGAGTTGGGGCTCGAATCAGTGAGTCGGGTGGTGACTCAGCGAGTTGGACGGGACAGGACTTGGAACTAGTTGGACTCGGCGAGTCGTGGACTGACTCGGCGAGTCGAGTCGCGAATAAGAAAGACCCTGAGCATATGAACTCGGCGAGTCAGTAGGTAGACTTGGCGAGTAGGGTTGACCTGGAAGGTTGACATTGACCAGGATTTCGACCTTGACCAGAGTTGACCTAGTGACTTTTGGAGGTCAGTTGGGCTAAGTGTTATATTGGCTTTTGAAGCTCGAGGAGCTAGTGGAGCAGCAGTCAAAGTCAGAGGTCATGCAGCAGTCAAAAGGATTAGCAGCAGTAATTCAGCATCATCAGGTGAGTTTCCTTCCAGTAGGAACGGGTCTAAGGCCACAATGCCGGCCCGTTTGGCTTGCAGTAGTTTTCGGATTTTTATCTGATGCAGTAGTTAGTATGTTTGATGCCTTCGTGGCTCAGACAGAATCTATGTGTTATGTGCTCCGGGCTACGGCCTGATGTATTATGCAGTATACGTGTGTTCATGCTAGTTGATATGTTTATGTTATGTTCTGTTCAGTTAGTCCGGACTTCGGTCCGATGCAGGGGGCAAGGCCCCAGTTAGCTCGGACTTCGGTCCGATGCAGGGGACAAGGTCCCAGTTAGTCCGGACTTCGGTCTGATGCAGGGGGCAAGGCCCCAGTTAGTCCGGACTTCGGTCCGATGCAGGGGACAAGGTCCCAGTCAGTTTCCGGACTTCGGTCCGATGTAGGGGGCAAGGCCCCAGTTAGTCCGGATTTCGGTCCGATGCAGTGGGCAAGGCCCAATATGTGCTTTATATGTTTTTGTGTGGTATGTGGTAGATTGGGGGAGCTCACTAAGCTTCGTGCTTACGGTTTTCAGTTTCGGTTTCAGGTACTCAGTATTCAAAAGAGGAGCTCGGGAAGATTGCAGAGCACACACCATAGTCAGTTAGCATGGGGATGTTTGACTCTGATAATAATATTATGTTTTGAATTGATACTTGAATGTCATGTTTGATTTATGATACGTTTTATAAATCCAGTTTTAGTAAGGTTTTAAAAGAAATTTTTAGTCGTGATTTTTGGGTCGTTTCAAGTTGGTATCAGAGCTAGGGCACGGGTCGATGTGTTCGACGGGGACGTCGAACCCTATAATGGGGGGTGAAAGTGGATTAGATCTGATCCCACATCGGCTGGGAAGGAGAACTAAGCATTCCTTATAAGGGGTGTGGATACCTTCCCCAACACAACGCGTTTTAAAGTCGTGAGGGCAGCAGATCCCATAAGAACTCTGCAGTTAAGCGTGCTCAGGCGGGAGTAGTACCGGGATGGGTGACCCCCTGGGAAGTCCTCGTGTCGAGTGGCCCAAAGCGGACAATATTGTGATACGTGCCAGAGGGGGTGTTACAAATGGTATCAGAGCCTTGGTTTGAGGGATTCGGGCACGCTCCTGAGTGTGTCTGAACTCAAACTAAGGAAGTGGTATATAGTTTTCAAAAGAAAAATCGTAGTTACAAAAGAATTTCGAGAAAAGAAAACAATTTTTTTTAGAAAAAGCAAAAAGAGTTTTGAAAAGAAAGAAGGGTGTGGTGCATGCAATCAACCGAGCTCAAGTAAGTACTCCCAATTCACCCATACAAGTTATATTATGATTTACAGTATCAGTTTCAGTTTCAGTTTCGGTTCCAGCTTCAGTAGAACAGCATGCTAGAATAGGACTAAGGATCTAGGATGATGCCTTATGTGCCTGCTTTATGTGTTCAGCTTTATGAGAATTGCATGCTAGTATTGAGTAGACAGCAGTAGGATAGCCTGTTTAGGTTATGCCTGGTAGCGCGAGCTTAGCATTGTATGTTAGTGTAGTTTCTCGTTATGAGAATAGTTTTGCCTGAGTATGTTTCCTTTATCCGAATGCTGCTTGCTTTGTGCTTTGTGGGACTCTGAGTGGTGGGAGTTAGCCATTAGGTGAATACGTCACATCACATGTGAGCAGGGTTGAATAATCTCAGAGTGTTGGATTTGGCCCTACTGCGCAGCTCTCGTTTGAGTCCAACCGTTGTAGGGGCGAAACTTTTACTCGAAGGATTATCTGAGCCTCATTACATGTGATGGTATTCAGGTGGTGGCTAATTGGCATTACAAGGAGGCCTTCAGCAGCTGAGGACTGGCTTGAGTAGAGACAGAAATTCCCTAGGGCAAGCCTAGGATGAGAGCAGTAGAGATTAGTAGTAGAGGAAAGGGGATTTGGTGGAGTTGAGGTAACTCTTGAGGAAAGTACGGATAGATGTGGAAGGTAGTAGGGGCCCATACTACTGAAAGCAGAGGATCCGTACTCGATTCAAGAGGGGCCGAGGCAAAACCAAGGAACTAGTAGAGTATGTGAGAGATCCCTCAGCAGTAGTATGTAAATTGATCAGGATTTTGTTATATTTTCAGCATGGTGACATTGCGCGAGCTACCAGTTAGCAGTTCAGGTGTCGAGGAGGGGTCTGGCTCGGGCTTCAGAGCCGGGCAGCTTGATGATCAGATGAGGGATTTCATTTCCGCAGAGATTATGCGCAACATCATTGATCAGACTCCAGTGATTTTCGGTTCAGATAGAGAGGCCATTGTGGAGCTCATGGACAGTCATCTTGAGGCCTTTAAGGCCGGGTTAGTTTCAGGACAGATTGGGGCTCGTCTAGGTCCCGAATCTTACGGAGTTCAGGGATCCATCAGGGAGGGAGATCCCATTTCTAGTTCCTGCTATCAGGGGGCAGGGGTGAGTGGGGCATTCTGTCTCCAAGAGAAACCATTGCATGATTGGATAGTTGAGGAAGTTTTGCGAGCCATTCGCGAGGATCTGCCCGACATGGTCATGAGGATCACTGATAGATTGATAGCGAGGCTTCAGGATCAGACATCTGTTGTTCAGTCATAACGCAGGAGCAAGAGTTGGGCAGGGAGTCGGAAAGGAAGAGGAAAATGGATGAGACTCAGGTTGCCACAGGTTCGAGTAAGAGGCCCAAGGGTTCAGATTTGAGGACGAGGAACTATCAGAGCCGCAGTC